AACGAGGCAGCGTTGAGAGAGGAGTACCAGGAGAGGGGAGAGGTGGCCCACAGTGTGTGTGAGACGTACGACGTCTACATGGGCCAGGACGAGTACATCCGCCGCTCTGACCAACAACAGGAGAAGCTTCAGTACTCAGACTGGTTTACTCTCAAGAGGTGAGGTGCACACGTCTCTGTCTGTCTTCTTTCCTCTTGATGTGATCTTGTTTGTGAGCGTTGGGAGCAGCGTGTTTGGGCCCAGGCTCGTGTGTGTGTGTGTGTGTGTGTGTGTGTGTGTGTGTGTGGGTGTGTGTGTACTCACCTAATTGTGCTTGCGGGGGTTGAGCTCTGGCTCTTTGGTCCCGCCTCTCAACCAGTGTGTGTGTGTGTGTGTGTGTGTGTGTGTGTGTGTGTGTGTGTGTGTGTGTGTGTGTGTGTGTGTGTGTGTGTGTGTGTGTGTGTGTGTGTGTGTGTGTATGTGTGTGTGTGTGTGTGTGTGTGTGTGTGTGTGTGTGTGTGTGTGTGTGTGTGTGTGTGTGTGTGTGTGTGTGTGTGTGTGTGTGTGTGTGTTTTAAAATTCAGGATTAACAAATTAGTCGCAGAATTAAATCACATAAATCCTTAGTCTTTTCTCTGGCGACTGAACCAAATCATTTGTATTCTGGTCATAAGGATTAGGAAATGGTGAACCCTGCACTAAAATGCCGGTAGAGAGAGTGGTGCTGGTGGCGCGCCATGACTACTCATCACCCGTGACTTGCACTCACAAAGTTGCACTCATAAAATATTATGCTGAGGGTGGCCGAGTGCTGTTTGGTCCGTTGACGGAGCCTCACCCTGTTGACGGAGCCTCACTCATCAACACATTCTTCACCTCACTGCTATATATAACATCCAATAATTCCCAACACACAACGTAACGACGACGTTGTACGAGCGTCATTACGGTGTTGCAGATGCACAACAACGTTGTGGTTAGGTTGTGTGTGTTGAGACTTAGCCACTTCATGATAGGTTAGTCTCAGAGGCAGCCACACATCAACCCGTTCTCGCACTTGCCTTCAGTCAACATTGGCTTATTTAATAAGTGCATATGTGACATACTAAGTGATTGTGAATATTTTAGTTTACCTTGAAAAGCTTCATTTTCACAACAACAACACTTCAAAAGATGTTCCAGAGTGGAACGAAACGTTGTTGAAAATAATCCTTCAATAATTACTAGAGTTTCTTTACCATGAATTTTGGTAACTTGACTGTTCTTAATACTGACTCTAAGAAAATAGTTAGAAGCATAGAAACCTTACACTATAAGATCAATATATAATATATATATATATATATATATATATATATAATATATATATATATATATATATATATATATATATATATATATGACAATGTCAGACCACGGAGGAAAATGAAACAGGAATTTCCTTAAGTACTTTCGTATATTAAATACATCTTCAGAAGGAAGATGGAAGATACATCTTCAGATTCCTTCTGAAGATGTATTTAATATACGAAAGTACTTAAGGAAATTCCTGTTTCATTTTCCTCCGTGGTCTGACATTGTCACATTCTTAATCACGTGTTTATTTTCGTGATATACACACACATGTATATATACAGTATACGTTATTACAGTGTGCAAGGCCGCCACAGTTTGTGTTTCAAAATAATAATCTGCATAAATACGACAGGAGAGACGTCAATTATTAGTTGGTGGGAAGTAGTTGTCTCCTTGACACGAGAGCAGGAGGCGGAAGACATAATATATCCGGCCAACTGCTCCAGCACTTGTGAAAGCCACAGATCCTAACACCTGCTCCCTCCTCGTCCACTCCGTGACTAGTTCCTCTTACGACCTTGTACGTGTCGGCCGTGTCTCTGTTTGGCCGCAGTTGACAGTGGTGGTCTACGGCCTGAGTGGCCCCGCCTCGGGGTCACACGGTACACGCTTCCCTCCTCATTACTTCACCCGTAATTTTGCTGATACCAAGGTAGGGGGAAGAGGTCAGGTCAGGGAAGGGTACGGCCTTGAAGCAACTAATTACCGTGTAACAAGGGTGTTGCCGCCTTTCTCCTACGATACCCAGAGAACCCACTCCTCCCCTGTCTCTCTCTCTCTCTCTCTCTCTCTCTCATCCCATGTTGTCCTCTCTGTGTTCGGTTGTTCATTAGCTTCACTTTCACGTGGCGAGTGTTCGGGGAGCGTGGCCCTCTATGCCCAGCGCCCCGGCTCCGCTACCTCAGTACGCATTCTGCCAGCGTCCCAGTGCGCCTTTCTCTCCGCTAAACCTGTTTGACAAATAAAAAGTTTGTCATGACGGAGTAAACTGTTCACGTCCACCACTTTCCCCTTCTTTCTCTCTCTAATGAAGGAGGCTTCTGCACTGTATAGAGGCTTGTATAGTGTATGTAGACTTCTAGTGTATGGAGGCTCTACTTCATGCAGCCTTCTAGAGTGTGTGTGTGTGGAGGCTCTACTTCATGTAGAGTTCTAGAGTGTGTGTGTGTGGAGGCTCTACTTCATGTAGACTTCTAGAGTGTGTGTGTGCGGAGGCTCTACTTCATGCAGCCTTCTAGAGTGTGTGTGTGTGGAGGCTCTACTTCATGTAGACTTCTAGAGTGTGTGTGTGTGGAGGCTCTACTTCATGTAGACTTCTAGAGTGTGTGTGTGTGGAGGCTCTACTTCATGTAGACTTCTAGAGTGTGTGTGTGTGGAGGCTCTACTTCATGTAGACTTCTAGAGTGTGTGTGTGTGGAGGCTCTACTTCATGTAGACTTCTAGTGTGTGTGTGTGGAGGCTCTACTTCATGCAGCCTTCTAGAGTGTGTGTGTGTGTGGAGGCTCTACTTCATGTAGACTTCTAGAGTGTGTGTGTGTGGAGGCTCTACTTCATGTAGACTTCTAGAGTGTGTGTGTGTGGAGGCTCTACTTCATGTAGACTTCTAGAGTGTGTGTGTGTGGAGGCTCTACTTCATGCAGCCTTCTAGAGTGTGTGTGTGTGTGGAGGCTCTACTTGATGTAGACTTCTAGAGTGTGTGTGTGGAGGCTCTACTTCATGTAGACTTCTAGAGTGTGTGTGTGGAGGCTCTACTTCATGTAGACTTCTAGGGTGTGTGTGTGTGGAGGCTCTACTTCATGTAGACTTCTAGAGTGTGTGTGTGTGTGGAGGCTCTACTTCATGTAGACTTCTAGAGTGTGTGTGTGTGTGGAGGCTCTACTTCATGTAGACTTCTAGTGTGTGTGTGGAGGCTCTACGTCATGTAGACTTCTAGAGTGTGTGTGTGTGGAGGCTCTACTTCATGTAGACTTCTAGAGTGTGTGTGTGTGGAGGCTCTACTTCATGTAGACTTCTAGAGTGTGTGTGTGTGGAGGCTCTACTTCATGTAGACTTCTAGTGTGTGTGTGTGGAGGCTCTACTTCATGTAGACTTCTAGAGTGTGTGTGTGTGGAGGCTCTACTTCATGTAGACTTCTAGAGTGTGTGTGTGTGGAGGCTCTACTTCATGTAGACTTCTAGAGTGTGTGTGTGTGTGGAGGCTCTACTTCATGTAGACTTCTAGAGTGTGTGTGTGTGTGGAGGCTCTACTTCATGTAGACTTCTAGAGTGTGTGTGTGTGTGGAGGCTCTACTTCATGTAGACTTCTAGAGTGTGTGTGTGTGTGGAGGCTCTACTTCATGTAGACTTCTAGAGTATATATACATGGAGGCTTGTACAGTACACCCAACACAGAGGACACACCGGACAATGGGAGTCCAGTGCTCCCATGGTTATCTCGGTATCGGAAGCAATAAAGACCACAACCACTGACTGATCTAGTTGTTCTTCCGTTGTTAGTAATTAAAGTAGATGGAAACCTTCAGTAGTAAGGCGACCATTCTCTATAACAAACTACTTAGCTTTTCACTCAAATTTTCTTCAATAGATACTATACAAAAGACAATATACAAAAGATACTATACACAAAATTTTGTACTAAAGATACTATACAAAAAATTTTGTACTAAAGATACTATACAAGAGATATTGTACAAAAGATACTATGCAAAAGACATTATACAAAAAATAGTATACAACAAATATTGTACTAAAGATACTATACAGAAGATATTGTACAAAAGATACTTTGCAAAAGACATTATATAAAAGTTTCTATACAGAAGATATTGTACAAAAAGATACTATGCAAAAGACATTATACAAAAGATACTGTACAGAAGATATTGTACAAAAGATACTGTACAGAAGATACCACAGTAAAGGAAACACAAGTGAGTGGTTATCTTGACACACTACTTAACTACTTTATCCACACGCCACTTTAGCTGTAGTGTGGATGCTGTAGTGTGGATGTGCTGTGTGCTTTACACACTACTTTATGTAACTATGCTGAACATTGTACACACACACAGACGTACTAGACAATTAGATGGTAGAATTTGGCGCTATTCACTTTAAAGTGTCTGAAAAAATCAAGCTAAAAAACAAACTTAAATATTCCCAGGCCTAGTATAGCACACATATGTACTATATTAGGCCTCAGATAGTGTGTATTAGGCCTAGGAAGGTTAGGTTAAGTTTTCTTTACAACATCAGTACAAAAACGTTTCAGGTTTGTCCAAAACCAATAAATAGTACCGATTTCTACTATCTAATTGTCTTACGTCAACGTGTGTACGATGATCTTGGTCGTCACCATAAGTACTCCCTAAACAGGAGGACTGGCTGGGATTTCTTGACTGCCACGCAGCTTTGGCCACAGATCCAGACAGAAGACTGCTACATAAGCCTTAGAGACAGGAAGGTGTAAATGGAGGAGCACTGGTATGGGTAAGAGTGTACCTAACAGACAGGAGTCAGAGCCTCAAAGTGAGGGAGAACAGTGGTACTAGCGTAGAGTAGTAGTAGTAGTAGGCATCCATCAGTCTCAGGAGACTATGGAGTTGCGCTCTGGTTGTCGGTCTGGAGTGGCCTCACCAGGGCGCAAAGCCAGGGTAGATTGAGTCGGAGGAGAAGCTGTTACCCAGGCAGCAGGTCCCCCCTCTCCACGGCGCTGAAAGTCTCCAATGGAAAGGCATACACCAATACGATTGGTTCCAGCGCCGTAGTGTGGAGACTAGAGTAACGCGTGAAGTACCTCAGAGAGTGGTGCAGGAACCCATACTTGTGTTCAATTAATGACCTAACCACCACAGGGTGGAACACTATATGTTGATGTCTGTGGATGATGCAAAGCTAGTAAAACGAAATGAAAAAGATGAAGATTGTAAGATACTCCAAGATGACAAACAAGTTGCAAAGATGGTTTCAGAAATGGTTATGAGAGTTCAACACCAGCAAGTGTAAGGTGATGGAAATGGGAACAAGTGCAGGAGAGGAGAAGGAAGATACACAATGTATAGAAACTATCTGACTGTAACAACCAGAGAAAAACACCTGGAGTGAACATGACCCCAAACCTCACTAAACAGGACAACATTAACACCATACGCAGCACTAGTAAGTCACAACATCATTCAGAAACCTAAATAAAGAGGCATTTAGTTACCACCTACGTGAGACCAGTTTTAGAGAATGCCGCCCCATCCTGGAGCCCGCATCTTTGAAAAGACACGAGGAAATTCGAAAAGGTTCAGAAGTTTCGAGGCGAGAAGTTTCGAGGAAGTTCAGAAGAAGGAGGCTCGTCCCAGAATTGCGAGGGATGAGTATGAAGAAAGACAATAAACCTGACGATGCTAGAAAGAGGGAGAAGGGAGACATGATAGTGACGTATTAAATACTTATGGGGATTGCGAGTGGAAAAAAGATAAAATGTTCACAATGAATACGAATAGAACAAGAAGGCATAGCTAGATGCTTGAGACACACATGAGTCATAGGGATGTTAGAAAGTTTTACTGTAGTATAAGAGCTGTGGGAACATGTAATGAACTAAAGGAACATGTTGAACAGGTTGTAGAAAGCAATTCCCTTTATAACTCTAAAAGTAGATATGAGTGGGAAATCAGTCAGAATTCATTAATTGTATTAGACAACCGGCGGTGAGTTCCAAGAGCTAAAGCTCGATATTGCAGGCACAAATAGGTGAGCACACACACGCGCGCACACACACAGAGCCACAGAGATATTAGAAAGAACTTTTTTAGTGTCAGAGTGGTTGACAAGTGGAATGCACTAGGAAGTGATGTGGTGGAGGCTGACTCCATACACAGTTTCAAATGTAGATATGATAGAGCCCAGTAGCCTCAGGAATCTGTACACCTGTTGATTGACGGTTGAGAGGCGGGACCAAAGAGCCAGAGCTCAACCCCCGCAAACACAACTAGGTGAGTACACACACGTATACAACAACAATGGGAAGAATTAAGAGACTTGGGTGGCAAGGCGGACCTGAGTGACGGAGCGCGGCGCAGCATTCTGATCATCGGGGAGCGCAGTGTTCCCTGGAAGCTTCTCTAAGAGGTCCTATTGTCTTATAAGAATAGAAACGGGGCTGACTTCCTCAACCTGGCCGCGGAGATGATGGTGGTGGATGCTGCATTATCTACGAGTTGTGTAACTAGGCAATTCACCTCTCGCAACTGCTAATAACACACGAGTCGAGAATTACATGCTGGTGACTAGTCGAGAAATTACTTTTGGGTTACATATACTGTGTTGTGCTTTTACTTATTTCTCATTGTTCACGTACAAATAGATACACACGAACCCCCATCCACGTGACATTCACACGAACCCCCCATTCACAGGATTAGTGTGAGGGAGCCGGTCGGCCGAGCAGACAGCACACTGGACTTGTGATCCTGTGGTCCCGGGTTCGATCCCGGGCGCTGGCGAGAAACAATGGGCAGATTTTCTTTCACCCTATGCCCCCTGTTACCTAGCAGTAAAATAGGTACCTGGGTGTTAGCTGTCACGGGCTGCTTCCTAAGGGTGGAGGCCTGGTCGAGGACCGGGCCGCGGGGACACTAAAAAGCCCCGAAATCACCTCAAGATAACCTCAAGATAGACATACGTGGTATACAAGGTCCTGAATGATTCCTTACACAAGTTTCTAAGGGGAAATTGGGAAGGTTGATCTCCCAAGAATCAGGCGAGAAGGATCTGGGGGTTAACACAACACCGAACCTGTCCCCATGAAGGCCACATCAGAAGTATATCAGAAACAGCATATGATTAGTTGGCTAACATAACAACCGTCTTTAGAAACTTGTGTAAGGAAGCATTCAGGACCTTGTATACCACATATGTCAGACCAATCCTGCAGTATGCATCTCCATCTCCAGGCGACAAGAGCTACGAGGAAAGAAGACTAAAATTAAACCTCACGTCACTAGAAGGCAGGATAGCTAGAGGGAGACATAATTATCACCTCCAAGATTCTCAGGGGAATTGACAAGGTGGACAAAAACAAACTATTTAGCACTGGTGATACTCGCACGAGGGGACACAGTTGGAAACTGAGAACCCAAATGAACCACAAAGACATTAGAAAGAACTTTTCAGTGTTAAAGTAGTTAGTAAATGGAATGCATTAGGAAGTGATGTGGTGGAGGCTGACTCCATACACAGTTTCAAATGTAGATATGATAAGAGCTCGAGAAGCTCAGGTATCTGTACACTAGTGGATTGACTGTTAAGAGGCGGGACCAAAGAGCCACAAGTTCAACCCCCGCAAGCACAACTAGGTGAGTACACACACACACACACACACACACACACACACACACACACACACACACACACACACACACACACACACACACACACACACACACACACACACAGCTAGAGTATGCCGCTGTAAGTGGAGCTCCACATAGACGAAACAAACGTGAAAAGGTAAACAGGTTACAATGAGGTTTCTCCCAGAACTGCAAGGGATGGCGGTATGATGAAAAACAGAGCTAGGCTTAACGTTGCTAGAAGAGAGAGAGAGAGAGAGAGAGAGAGAGAGAGAGAGAGAGAGAGAGAGAGAAGACGAACGAGACAAAACAATTAGCGAAATCGAGAGAGGAAAAAGAGTAAATTGCTCATAATTAATGTTAACTAGAGGTTAAGGGAAGGGAGCCCGCCAAGGAACCAAATACATTACTTGAGACAGTTTCAGACGCCTTCTTTTGATGCTAATAAAACATTCTGCACTGTGCTGTGTAATATTTTTAATTATCTCTCGTTTAATTCTGGCCATGAATAAATGGTAAAAAAATACTGTACTATATCTCACATAACCCAAAAGATTAATTATTAAAAACTACAAAATGTCTAAATTCAAATGTGTTTTGGTTATGGTATCCTTCACAACCTGCCATGGCTTGTATTCCCCCCCCCCCAAGGGTGAACTGGAACTACATGTATTATGTACCCAACGAGGACTTCGTGTACTGCAAGGTGCCCAAGAGCGGCTCCTCCACCTGGGTCTACAACCTCCTCAAGCTGGCCAACGCCCCGGACGACCAGCTCAGCTCTGACATCGGCCTCCACCGTCTCCTGAGAGACTATTATCCCAAGTGAGTAGGTCTTCCTCCATCTTGGAGAGACTATTATCCCAAGTGAGTAGGTCTACCTCCATCTTGGAGAGACTATTATCCCATGTGAGTAGGTCTTCCTCCATCTTGGAGAGACTATTATCCCAAGTGAGTAGGTCTCTCACCATCTTGGAGAGACTATTATCCCATGTGAGTAGGTCTACCTCCATCTTGGAGAGACTATTATCCCATGTGAGTAGGTCTACCTCCATCTTGGAGAGACTATTATCCCAAGTGAGTAGGTCTACCTCCATCTTGGAGAGACTATTATCCCATGTGAGTAGGTCTACCTCCATCTTGGAGAGACTATTATCCCATGTGAGTAGGTCTACCTCCATCTTGGAGAGACTATTATCCCATGTGAGTAGGTCTACCTCCATCTTGGAGTTGTCACTAACCTGCTTCCCACAACTAACCTAAGACAGACATACTCATATACTCAGGTCTTTTGTAAAAAGGAGACCATTTACGAGTAGTTATTTCTACGGGTTGTTACATTCGCTAGTAGTTACATTTTCGAACTGATGAATTAACAAGCAGTTACATTTACGCGATGTTATATTTACAAACACTTATATTTACGGATTGTTTCATCTAGGAGAAAGGCAGACTAGGAATAGTTACCACATAACAGAGCATGGTCAAGTCGGAGAAATGTCAACACACACACACACACACACACACACACACACACACACACACACACACACACACACACACACACACACACACACACACACACACACACACAATGTGTGTGATGGAATGCACTAGTAAAGTAATTCCCGAGTAAATGGAATGCATTAGGCAGGGATGTGGTGGAGGCTGACTCCATACACAGTTTCAATTGTAGATATGACAGAGCCCAGTAGACTCAGGGATCTGTACACCAGATGATACACCAGCTAATTGACCAAAGAGCCAAAGCTCAACCCCAACAAGCACATCTAGGTGAGTACACACACACACACATAAACCCTTTTACATAAGCTTGAATAATTCATCGTATAAACAATGTGCCATCTACATATATGAAACTTGAATAATCACGTATCCTCTTTAATTTACGATGTATACCAACAATGGTATATAGTAATAATTTACTTCTACCGTTGTCCAGCATTCACACATCAGCTGGTTTTGTTTACATACTCAACATTAACTGAGACACTGCATGTTGCGGCTCGTGTTTACCCCCAGGATGTCCAGCAGCAAGATGAAGCGGGCCTTCAAGAAGAGCTTCAAGCTGCTGGTGGTTCGTCATCCCTTCGAGCGGATCCTCTCGGCCTACAGGGACAAGCTGGAGAATTATCAGCGAGATCTGATGTTCAGGTGAGTCAGGTCTGGTGTCAGACTTCAGGCATCCCGACCCCCTGCAAGGTTATTAATATAGGCCATCACGATGGCTTATCGACCAGCAGATGGCTTGAACGTGGTCCGGGACTAGTGTAAACTCTGCGTGTATACTTCAAGAAGCGGGGTACACCTTTTGGAGAGTCTGTAGTGGTTTCCCTACCCACCCCCTTCACCCATTCTCATTTATTTTTGCTAATGCAGACACAGCTCTAGCTTTTAATGGTTTGGTATATACAGAACTGAAACAAAATTATAAGTTACATCTTGAACAATCTTTCTTAATTCCTCACTAAACTTCAAGGATAAAAGTATTGAAGCAGCTGGTGTTGTGTGCAGACGATAAGTCACAATAACGGGGCTGAAGCTATGATGACCAGACCACACATGAGATAATGGTCCAGGACGATAATGGTCGTCCAGGACCATTATCAAGTTTTCCAGGACGATAATGGTCGTCCAGGACCATTATCAAGTGGTCCAGGACGATAATGGTCGTCCAGGACCATTATCAAGTGGTCCAGGACGATAATGGTCGTCCAGGACCATTATCAAGTGGTCCAGGACGATAATGGTCGTTCAGGACCATTATCAAGTGGTCCAGGACGGACCGAAACGTCGTTGTTTCTCCATCTTTTGAGTTGTGGTTTGGTCATCCGACGGGGACGTGTGTGAGGCTCGTGTACTAACCTGGCGCGGGGCTCTTGTGTTCCTACCCTACAGGGACGGCTACTACCACACCATGTACGGCAAGAGCATCGTCAGGGTCTACAGGAGTGAAGCAGACCGCTCCCTTGCTAACCGGACCGAGCCAACCTGGAGGGAGTTCGTCAGGTACCTCATCAACTCGCCCTCTTCTAAGTTCGACGAGCACTGGAAGCCCATCTACTCGCTGTGCTCTCCCTGCGTCGTCAAGTACAATGTAATCGCCAAGATGGAGACCTTCAGCGAGGTGAGGCACGGTGGACAGTGAGAGAGAATTGTAGCGTAGTAGTTACCGCAGCCGGCTCAAAGCTGACTGGTCCTGAGGTAGATTCCCGGGCAGGGTGAGACGTTTGGGCAGGTTCACTTACATTTGACACCTCGGTTCCCATCGGAGTTAGTTAATTTCTTAACTAACTAATGGTTCTTGGAGACCTCGATAAGCATTACAAAATTCCTTTCCCCGACAATGGGAAAACCTTTGGTAAGAGTTTATAGAGATGATCATTAACCTCAGAAGAGGTATGGGCTCTGTGCGTCTCTTGTCTCTAGAAGCGACCACAACATCTTGCGCCAACCCTCCCAATATCTATATTATAAATAATGACACTTTTGAACTGCATGTTACTTTGTACACCAATAATATTTGACGCTATTTTAAGCCCACTTGAGTGGCCCATCACAGACCTTAAGTGTTGCCACGACATTCCCAACCCTCCCTCCACTTAGCAGTCACACGAATATGTTCAAGAACCAACTTCGCCCTTATCTTGTAGGTGTATAAGGCTCAGTTCCATCAGCAGGTGAAGGTTGGCTCACAGGCAAATTTCCCCTGACTGATTTACTGCAAAATAGCTGCCAATTTTCAACTCAATTTCTTATAACAACAATACAATATACCAGCCGACCTGCGTATATACGAAGCCTTCCTCACCAATTTTCAAAAGTCGCAAAAAATTCCAATTTAACCCTGATGTATGCTGAGACTTTCTATTTTTAAATGTAATGTAAATTGAGGATAAATATGCACTAAGAGTAGGAGGGCAATAATTAGGAACCGGAGGACACATTCACATAAATAATTATGAACATGTTACGCAGCTCTGGGACCGCGACGGAGGTCACCCACACCAACACACACACAATAACACTACAGTTGGTGCAGGAAGCCCATCCTCCTCAAGCCCAGGCCAGCCCAGGTGACCTTCAGCCCACACAACAAGGCCCTAACACATCAATAGTGTTATAATGTCGCTGCTCTCACCAGCCGGTCATAGCGAAGTGTTCTGGGCCCAGCTGGCGCTCTCAGCCAGGGTGGGGGGGCGAGCTGTCTTGCTTATCACAGGTTGCTGGTATATATATATATATATATATATATATATATATATATATATATATATATATATATATATATATATATATATATATATATATATATATATATATATAAGCTTCCTGTCTCCCACAAAACGAAATATTAATTATTAAACAAACTGGTACCAGCTCACACAATAAGCAATTAAAGTGAAAATACAACAACTTGAACCCCACACTTACGCACACCAACAATCATAATACTTCTTTCTCTTATATGAGAAATGTCCGCAGAAATACTTCTTAAATATTAAAAGATTTACGTCTCATAAAAGGAAGAACAAACATGTAAACAAAGATTTATGAAGCGCGAGGACACTCACCCACGTGCGCACGCACACGCACGCACACGCACGCACACACACACACACACACACACACACACACACACACACACACACACACACACACACACACACACACACACACGCGCGCGCGTACTAATGAATTAATGACGTGGAACCCATGATATCAGGTTCAGTCACTCATAAGTTATTATTGTATATTCACCAACTAGGTGAAGCCATAATAATGACTCATGAGTAACAGAACCTGATATCATGTGTTCCACGTTATCAATATGTTTGGTGGCGAGGAAAGCCGTCAACATATACTGTATAAACTGTCACCCACACTATCGTGGTAATAAACATGTCCTTCACTTGGGGCCTGGGAAACGACTCGAACCCTCGACCCCAAAAGCGTGAGGCACAAGCTCTACCTCTAGACCACGCAGGCGGCTACAACAGACCAGCAAACTACTACACGTGGGAACTGTTAGACCTCCTCAGCCTCTGTTTAGGTCATCCATGACCTAAGATGGTGACATCTCGTGGGGTCGAGAGTTCGAGTCTCCCCGGGCCCGAGTCAATGAAATATACTGTATAGATACCATATACAGTATATTTCATTAAATATCATACTTTATGTTCTAGTATATGTTCTTAAATATAAAGTATAGTCAAGTATACTCTCTTATACTTCTTAGTTTTGGCCTATTATATCATATTTCTTGCCAGATTCCCCCTGTTAATCCTCTCCCCTTGGTGCTTCGTTTAGCTCTTGGGCCCCACCTCTCTTGACTATAACTTGTCTACAGGTTAACCTGTTTATTCTTTCATTCCTGTTTAACCCCGCTATTGCATTCTTCCGGTGACGTCACTGGGCCAGGACACCCAATACGTCATCAATCAGCTGGGACTGGAGGACCGCCTCCACGTGGAGTGGATACACAGAACAGCTGACACCAGAACATCTGACATAGCCATCACCTATTTCTCACAGCTCACTCTCAACCAGGTGAGACAATCTCTACTTCTATGCAACCCGTTCTCGCACTTATAGTCAATATCTTGCTTATGAATAAGTGCATATGTGACGTACTAATTTATTGTGAATATTTGAGTTTACCTTGAAAAGCTGAATAGAAAACCACAACCTAATTTAACCTTTTTAGTATGTTAAGATATTACAATTAGTGCTGAACCTATACCTATATTGATATTACAGTTTTATAAAAATAATAAAAGAAAACAAAAATATTTAAATAAATTGTAGAGTAACTCAGGATATTGTCAAATTTTGAATAAAATCTCTATTCTTTAAAACTGAGAGAAAAAGTTAGTGCCTTGAAAAAAATATGGCTTGGAATATGTCACGTATTTACTTATTTATAAGCGAAATAGTGACTATAAGCAATAAGTCATATATATGCTGTTCTGTGTAAAAGATTTGTAAGTAGATGTGGAAATGCTTGTTGTCTCCTGGCCCTGATCACTGGTAGTAATAACGAGGACGGAATATACAACACCCGCCAGCGCAGGTGGACAGGTCGCCTCTCTTCACACAATGGGAGTTAATTATCTGATACTGATCGACTTTCCTTTCCCCCGACAGCAGAGAGTTGCTTAAGAGCGCAACATTTGCTGCAAGGAGGGAAGCAAGTGTTACCCTCAGCATACTCAAGCCTGTGTTACTTCAGCACTCTCAAGCACTACCTTCAGCACACTCGAGCAAGTGTTACATTCAAGTGCTGCCCTCAGCCCACTAGAGCAGGTGCTACCTTCCCTTACGCTTGTTGACCTAATGCCCCTAATGTTTCGTCCCCCGCAGATTGATCAGCTGTACGCCAAGTACCGGCTTGACTTCGAGTTGTTCGGGTACGACTCCGAGGCGTACCGCGAGATGGCGTCCGACTGACCTGTTGCTGCAAGCGGCGGGGACGCCTCCGGCACCCACACAACACGCCCACGTCCAGGGGTGTGGACGCCCACGTCCAGGGGTGTGGACGCCCCCGTCCAGGGGTGGGGACGCCCACGGACCACTTACCTTAGGGAGGCTACACTCACACCTGGGGAAAAGATATCGTGGTTCAGACTCAAAGAGCACATTATTATTATTATTACTATTACTATTATTATTATTATTATTGAGGTTAGAGGCATTATAGAGTTGTGTTGTTGTTGTTGTGTGCGAGAGGATGAGAGTTGTTATTTATCATTGAGGTTCCGTGTATTATAAGAGTGTGAGGTGAGCCCTTAACAAGGGTTGCAGCTCTATCAATAAAATTCTCCGTGTCAGACAACCAGCTTGTATCTCTTAACCTAAACTCTGAGGATCCATTGTTGCACTTTGAGATGCACTTTGCACTCCACGATGCCTTTTTTTATTTTTATTTATTGACACATTTAGGTACATCTGCGTTTGTGCAACTTTTTATTAATACATTAGGTACATCTGCATTAGTGCAGCTGCCCTAGACTGTATGAAGTGGAGTACAGTGTGTCAAAAAAGCTAACTAGGTGAAAGTAACGCAGTTTTTTTTTTTTCTTTTTTTTTTTTTTATTAAGTTATGAGGTACATCTGCATTAGTGCAGCTACCCTAGACTATATGAAGTGGAGTACAGTGTGTCAAAAAAATCTAACTAGGTGATGCTATAAAATCCCCATCACACAGGATGGTTAGTCATACAGAGACATGTGATAGGCGGTCTGCACTGGCAGACTCCGGATGCATTTTGAGGATATCAACAACACAAGATTGAATAAGGTAGCAGTGGTAATACAAGTCCCCATCTCGCAGGATGGTTAGTCATACAGGGCCATGTGTTTAATAGCCTGCACTGGCAAATTTTGGGTATACTGTGAGGATATCTTCAAGAATACGAGAGTGAATAAAGTAATTGCAAAGCTCCAGGTACCTCATGCCAACTGGTCTGAAAGGTCTAATAACTGGGCATTCAGTGATGTAGTGCGGGAGATCATGCCGTAGTTCCTGCTCACAGAGTTTGCAACTGGAGTGCTCAGGATTGGGAGACCCGTCACCTGCAGCCACCTGCCACAGGTAACGGTAACCCAACCTGATCCTTGCAACCACTGTGTCGCACAGTCTAGTGGACGTTTTGTGCTGTCCATAGATGTAGGTTTCAGATCTGAACAAATCATAGCTTTTTATACTAGTACTTTCAGGTCGTTGGGAGTCAGTAAGTTCTTTCCTATCAGATCTGAATGTTTGGACCAATACAGTTTTGACAGCAGAGATGGGGATACCTAGATCTAATTCAACTTCAAACTTGTTACACGCTAGTTTGGCTGCAATGTCTGTCTCATTATGATGGGTTATATTTATGTGTGAGGGTATCCATACAAAGGAGATTCGAGACCCTTTACTCTGTGCATCAATTAGGTCATTTATAATTGGGAGTATTAGGTTCTTGCTGTCGATCTTCCAAGAGAAGTTTTCGATTGCTTGAAGAGCAGACTTTGAATCGCAGAATATTATTCCTCCTCCAATATTTTTTAATGTGCTGGTTGCTAAATGTAATGCTGCTAGTTCTGCTTGTGTGGAGGTCAGCCAGTTGTTTAACCTGACACTGACAGACTTTGTGCAGATATTATTTCTATAAAACCTACATGCCGCTGCAGTCCGTCCAGTAGAAGACTGGACTGAGCCGTCGGTGTAGACTTTGAGTAGAGCAAGATTCTCATTATCTTTCTTGGTGACAGGTGTGTATGATACTTGAATGGTGGGGTACAGATAAAGAGGAATATCAGAGACTGGTAGATTGCACTTAAAAGGAATGTTAAGTTTAATGAGATTGTAAGCATTGTTTCTCAGCCAATTATCATAAAAGGAGTGAGTTGGTATGTCGGCACCAGTCAAAAGGGTGTTAACAGCACTAAATAATTTGTCTCTGAGCAATGCAGGAGATGTAGGATCTCTCATGACTTTAAGACAGAAGGTAGTGTTAACTTGCATTATTCTCTCTAGTATGGTTGGAAACTTCAGTTCTTCCCTCATGTTGATGATTCTTGTGCATCTTGGGGCACCAAGAATTATCCTCATGGCCTCGTTCTGTATTACTTCAAGTTTGTCCAACACAGAGGAGGGGAAATTAATTAAGTGCAGAGCATTATAATCAACGAGAGATCTAACAAACATCATATAGAATAGTCTAGCATATTTAATATTGATACCAATATTCTTACCAGTAAGTGTTCTCAATGGTTTTAGTCTTTCTTTTAACCTACGGTGTAGATCATTTACAATGTCACTGTTAATACCAACTCCAAGGTATTTGTGCTGCCCACACGTTTCAATGTTCTGGCTGTTGACCTTGAAAGCTATAGGGACATGAGTTTTCTCTTTGGGATGGAGAACTCTGGATTTAGTTATAGAGATAACAAGACCACATTCAATGCTTTTAGCAGCGAATGAATCAAGTAGAGCTTGCAGTCTAGTTTGGGAATTTGCAACAATGCATATATCATCGGCATAACAAATGACGGCTTCGTCAGGTAGTGTAGGAATATCAATTGTTAATTTATGCATCAGAACATTGAACAGTGTGGGACTTAGCACTCCACCCTGGGGTGTACCCAACTCAAAGGGTGCACAGAGTTTACTTTTGACCCCCTTGAAAAGGACTGAGGCGGTTCTGTTACTCAGGTACCCCCTGAGCCATGTCAACAGTCTTCCCTTAACTCCAAAAGAGGCTAGCTGTTCTAGGATTATTTCTTTGTTTGCTGTATCAAAAGCAGTTTGGAGATCAATAAATGCCGCCTGAGAGTTTGGTCCCCCTCTGATAAAATACTCAGCAAAGCAAGTTTGTGTGCTTCTTCCAGGAAGGAAACCATACAGGTTAGGGGCAAGGTGGGGCTTGATTTGAAACATTAGTCTGTCGAGAATAATTCTCTCAAGAACTTTGCACATGCACGACGTTAGAGAAATGGGTCTAAATTTTTGTGAATTAGGCTTGGGTATGGGTATTATGAGTCCCTGTGTCCAGCGGTCAGGTAAAACACCCTGCCTTAGACTTTGATTAAACAATTCTAGCAAAGGGCTATTTGGCAGCTCAGCAAGTACTCTCATGGTGTTGTATGTGATGCCATCCTCTCCAGGAGAGGTAGCCTTACCTTTCTTGAGTGCATTTTTAATTTCAAAGGGGGTTATGCCATAGTTATCCATTTGTGCAGAACGCCTCAATATACATTAAAGTCTACGGAACAACCCCCGCCATATTAAATAACTATTAATCAGGCTTAATAATGTTGCAATTTGTCAACACTGCCCAGAAAATGAAGTAAGCTCACTTTCGCCATATTATTTTCAAGTTAATATAAAGAAAAAATGTATTACAAACAGTTCCAATTATTATTATACATAAGTGCTCCATACATATCGAGTCTACGCGATGCGACTTTATGAAGATATCTTACAATGAGGTTTTATGAAGATAACTTACTATGAGGGTTTATGAAGATATCCTTCGATAAGTCTTTATGAAAGATTTACAACGAGGCGTGATGAAGGTATCTTACGGAAACAAAATAAGTTAATCAATGCAAACACAAGCAGAACCTTTCCTCAATCTTGAGTACTGAAGGATCCAAGACGACACAAGGAGTCCTCCTCATATAGAACTGGAACCTCAAGATGAAAACGAATACAAAATATTGCCCTGATAAACGCACCTATTATCCTTATTGCGTATTACTATATTTAATGTTTCTCCTTGATAAACATGACAAAAGAAAATGCCGATGTCTAAAGCAGGCCTAACCATCTATCTTGACTAATCAGGAGAACGACTGCCTTGCTTCTTGCAGGCGGGTGCTCGATCCCCCAAGGTGCACATGGCTTTCTCGTGAGAACTGCAAATCATGGTTCCTGTCCTCCAGCAAGTAGGCCTAGGTTCTGTGATTGGGGTAAGGGTGCCAAGTGGGCCGAGTTTCAGTAGCAGGTCTGTGTAAAACCTTACTGAAATGTTTGGTGTGGACTGGAGAGTGAGTGGGAGAAGAGCACAGGATTGTAACTCTGGAGTTACAATCTGATTGTAACTCTGGAGTTACAATCTGTCCGGAGAGCGGAGATTAAGGTAAATTGTTTTCTTAAGTTTAATTGTTGGTAATTCTCACCATTGCCTATTGTGTTGTAGGATATTTTAAGTTAGGGTTCCAGTGATTTTTATCAATAAATTTATATATTAAAAGGTTATATGTTGTTTTAATTAATGTTTCCTGTCACTGGTCTTTGACCATATTTCACCTGGAGCTTCTCCTAGACTTTAACATTATTCAGTGGTCCTCCAAGCCACATATATAATTAACAAAGCGAAAACAATCACTAACAGTGAAGCCGCAGAATTTAAGCGTAATAATTCATAACAATCAGTTCATAAGTCTCTGAGACATGTCCATGACCTCTTCCCTTAAGGCAAGGACACAATTAAAGTAATAATCAAATGCCTAAGAAGTGAGGGCAGCATTACCAGCTTGCAGCATGTGTTGGAAGCATACCATCTGGCATATAATGAGCAGTGCCATAATATTCTGGTAGTGTGTCCCAGACGGCGTCGACCTCCACTCCCGCAGGTATGTCATCTTCTCTACATACGGTTCCGTACATCTTGTCCTTAGTTTCCCCAGCAAAATATACGTCAATGGATCCAAGGATGCAGCGGGAGTAGATGCTACACTCTTCCTTACATTTCACCGGCTGTACATCCTCTGGCACAGGTGTGCCTACCGGAGTGCCACCGGTCATCAACCACATGTTGAACTCGTCCATAAGTATAATTCGAACTTGCTAACAGTCAAGCAGAAGAAGAAAGGAGCAAAGGGATGCTACTGCTTCTAATACTACATCTTTAATCATCATGTTTGAACTTTTAAGCATTTTTGAAATGATTTATTACTGTTATATTTTCGGGAAGATGGTGAGATGTGCTCGTGTGGCGGGACCTGCTGCTTCACTGCTTTCTGGAACACCAAATTCTAGTTGATGTGGTGGAAGCGTTGTGGTAACTACTGTACTCCAAGCTTCTGACACCTGCCTTGTGTGTCTATGTACACCTAGTTGTGCTTGCGGGGGTTGAGCTTCGGCTCTTGGTCCCGCCTCTCAACCGTCAATCAACTGGTGTACAGGTTTCTGAGCCTATTGGGCTCTATCATATCTACATTTAAAACTGTGTATGGAGTCAGCCTCCGCCACATCACTGCCTAATGCATTCCACCTGTTAACTACTCTGACACTGAACAAATTCTTTTTAATGTCTCTGTGGCTCATTTCGGTACTAA